CAGCGATTCCCAACCTGTGGTACGCGTACCCCTAGGGGTACGCGATAGGTTGTTTAGGGGTACAGAAAAAAGTTAGTTATTATGGCAGAAAAAATAATATATTATGTATCACAAACTAATAGTATTAAAAAATTATTAGATAAAAAATGTTCCTTGCAACAATCACAACTTTATCATACATTTTTTTCTTTTAGTTTTTTTTTCTTTAATTTAAAGTTACAATATGTAAAATTAACAATACGGTTACTCACTAAATTTCTTAAATGAAGGGTACAATCTAGAGATATGACATGTCACGGGGTACAATCTAGAGATAGGAAATGTCACGGGGTACGCTATGAAAAAAGGTTGGGAACCACTGACTTATTGTAAAGGAATAACAATAGATACTACATATAAAAGGCCATTTAGACAAGGAAATTTTTGGATAGAAAAGAATGATCAGTGTTTCACTGAGATAGAGAAGTTGATAACACCATCATCAGTAACTTTTGCATAATCCCAAGATTTATAAAACTTAGAAAAACAAACAAAAATTCCTTTTCACTTTCACCTAAACAGATGGTCACTCGATATAAGACATCATAATCTCTTAATTAATGATATTTCATGCATCACTGAGAACTTGTTGGCAAGCCAAGCAAACCTGTCTGTAAAATTCTATCTAGTAAAAGTTCCAAGTTATCAGTTATTTTTCTGAGAAATAAATCAGATTACAGTAGACCCCCTATAACGCGGGCTCCTATAATGGAGATTCCTATAACGTGGCGAAAAAATTGCGACAGTATTCGTATAAAGACGCTAAAGGGACTCGTAAAATGTCGTCACCAACTCGTGACGCGACAGGATTGGTCGAATCTGGACAAATAGTAGATGAGCAGCCGAACTACTTACACGCCACAGAGAGTTTAGGCGAGTAAGTTGAGTTTATTATCGTCTGTACAGTATGGCCGCGTTTCTTTATGCAGCGCTCGAGAAGCGCTTTACAGCGAACCCTCTGAAACCCGTTTCTAAATGCAGCGCTGCAANAGCTTTTTAATTTTCAAAAATTTTAAGAATTTGAAAATTGAAATTAAAAATAAATACCATTACACATAGTTCAATTTACCTTCATTCTCACTGATATATTTATCGAACTTGTATCACTAGCAAATGCCTTTAGAAAAGTGAGATGAGTAAGTTTTAGTGTACACAACCTGAAAAATAATAAGAGAAAATGAAGTTAAATTTTAAGAAAGATTTAACATTGCTATTTATGAAATATGAACAATCAATCAATAATTTCCAAATCTTGATTCTTTGTAGCATCCAAATTCCTTCAAATTCTTTAAAATGGATTAAATTAAAAAGTATAATTAAAATATTATATTGACTAAAAAGGATGGTCATTGGAGAATATTACAGTAGAACCCCTCTAGTCCGCCCTCGGCTAGTCCGTCACTCTGGTTAATCCGACCGTGGTCGGACTCGAAAAACTTGTCTCGACTCGTCAGTGACTCACCGTCCGTGGCGTTCTTCTGTGTTCGTTACAGTATATGTTTTACATTGTGTGTATGTGTACAGTTTTGTGTGTGTTTTCAACATGTCAGGAGTGAAACGTAAACACGTTACTCATTCATTAAATGAAAAATTAGCAGTGCTACAAAGACTGGACAAAGGGAAGATTGTTTATTTTACTTTTTTCTGATAATCCGACCTTTTTTGCGTTCCGACCATACCCCCAGTCCCAAAGGTGACGGATTAGAGGGGTTCTACTGTATCTTGAAAATTTTAACACTAATAAGCAATAAATAAATGACAAAATTTTTATCAATGTATTTTTAATCTAAATATCTAAACATAATAGAATTAAAATTTTAAACATTTAAAAATAAATTAATAAAAAATTAAAAGATCTTAGTATGGTATTCTATTAACTCAAATGTTCCCATTAATTATATAGATGCAAAAATATAAATTAACAAGACACATACCAACACTTGTGTGTTAGTATGGATTGATATTCGTTCCTAGAAATAATTTACAAAATAGCAATGCAATGCAATTAATAGCAATGCAATTTATTAAATTTTTGATTTTTCTTAAATATAAAAACAGGGATCAATTTGTTTGACCCTTTAGGATATTACTTTTTCAAAAGTGGCATAAACCCAACAGTTTGATACTATTCTTATACAGTCAAGCTTCTATATTACAAAGTTGCTAAATCTTGAAAAAAATTTGCTGTAGGAAAATTTCGTTATACAGAAATCCCATGTTTTGGTAAATAAAGTATAATTTTAATGTACTTTTTCATTACTTTATGTAATTTAAGTTGATATAAACATAATATATAGTAATAATGTAATATAAACAGTTTTAATTTTAAGTTTTGTAAAAAATAATTGTAATTTTTTGTTGTACAGAACAATTAAAAAAAGTTTTCTCTTTATAATATGCTTCACACTTATTAAGAGCATTAAAACTGCTTCATCTATATCAATATAAATGCAGATTTTAGTGCATTTCCCTATAGGTCTCACATCACTGGCTAATTTCAAAACTGATTCATGATTTGTTATTATGATTGATAAAGTACTCACAGGAATTCCAAACTTTGTTACAATGTCTTTCTTTTTTGAGCCTTTATCAACTTCCTGCAATAAATTAATATTTTTAATAATGCTTAAACACTTTATTAACAGTTGTTCAAATTCCAACTGGAGGCTTATTAAATAAAATAAAATCTCATTAATGCCAAAAATTAGTCCAGCAGTTGTCACAATTAGGACCTTTCTAATGTTTTTGACATTCATTAATTGTAAATCCTTTATCTGTCAACAATGTCATTTGGACCTAATTTCTTTCCCCCTTCTTTATAACCAGTAGCCACGTGGGGGCAGATTACATGATGGTTTTAAAAGCTAACAACCAGTATTTCTTATATCTGGCCTGTGGGTTTACAGACTGATATCTGAAATTGAATCTAAATTTGAACTCGACCCAGATGGATTAATTGACTTTTAATTATCGATGGTCCTTATAAATTAAAAAGGAATTTTTTATATAGAAATTTAATTTCATTATTTACAAGCAATT